TATATATGTATGTATGTATATATCACTATCATTATTATTATCACACTTGTATGTGTGTGAAGTAAAATGTAGATACGTATACATATTCACTTTCATCATACACAGTACTTTCTTTATCGTTACATGTATATACATTAACATGTTTACATGTGTATTGACCTATAATGTTTGTATACGTTTTTTTGGAAATATGCGGATATTCCTTTACATACACAGGCACACCTGACACATATCAGCTCTACTTTTCAATATCCGTGTACGTCATGTCAAGATTTGCTAAGAAGGATTAGTTCTGTATCAGTACATATCCTAACACATACTGCAACATACCAATATACAAACATTTAAGCACTCCGCCAACCACATAGCGTGCTACACCATACAGCTGACTCCAAGGATAACCTCTTCTATTCCACAGATACGTGTCTTGTCTGTTGTCGTTGCTGGAGGAGTACGACTTCTACGTCCGGTTCCAATGTGTACAGGTGTGTTCTAGGCCAATGGATGTGTATCTCATCAACGATATCCGTAGCCTATCCTTAATGTCTTTATGTGCACTTGTTTGTCAGATTTGTGTGCACTCATGTATATGTGTATGCACGTATGCGTATATGTACCTGGTATTTATCAAAGCACATATAGCTTGGCGTTCGGATCGGTATGGGGATCTCCAGTACTCGAAGCGTTTGAGGGTGGGCATGGGATATGTGTGGCTGTGGTTTATATAGAGCTTTTAACTGAGTGCAGGGCAACGGCAAAGGCTCATTCTACTACGAACTACAATTGATCGTCGAGCGCGGTTATACACTCTACTTGAGCATGTATTATAATATATGTATATATATATATATATATATATATATATCGCATGCCCATATCTAAGAATAAACCCTAACCAAAATGGCCTTTTCCCTATACTTGCCTGTTAAGCATGTACATGTATTGGTATATAACTATGCACGGCATCGTCGTGTACCAATATGTCTTGCACTTGACCTGCCAGTAATCTTAGCTTCAAAGAATCACGCTCGACATCTCGGCTTGATTTTGCTCATGTATGTGCGTTCTATTCCTAATTTTAATTCCCGTTTTCGAGCCGCGAGATCTCGTAGATCCTTCTACTTCTAATGGGACATTAGAAATCTTAGTGTATTCACTTGTCATTAGTTAAATTAGTCCACATAAATTTAAATTAATTGTTTTAAATTAAAATATATTCATATTGGGAGTTTGAAACTCGAATCAGATTATTTGTTTCAAATTAAACTCAAACTAATTGTTTCGAATACATGCCAAATTAGTTGTTTGGAATTAATATATATTGAAGTTATTTATTTAACATACGAATCAAATCAATCGTTTGGAATTCAAATCAAATTAGTTCAAATCTAACCCAAATTAATTGTTTCGAATTCGAATCCGATTCTCGCAGGTGCTTCTCCTGCTGTTAACGAACTGCCCCGATAAATTGCAAGAGGTATGCGCTATTCCTTTGTATTTCTTAAACCCTTTTCTTGTCTGCAGTTGGCCATAGAGTTGCGTAATTTTGTGATCATATCCTTCAATATCTCCCGATTGTCTATATTTCTGTGATCATATTCTATAATATCGCCCTGATTATCTATATTTCTGTGATCATATCCTTCAGAATCACCCTGACTGTCTATATTTTTGTCATTTTATCCTTTGATATCGCCCTGATTGTCTATATTTCTATGATCATATCCTTCAATATCATCCTGATTGGTTGTTCTGTTCGTCTACCCGTACTTATCAACGTGGCTTGTTAGTTTCTTTTATATCGCTCACAGCGCCATCTTACTTTAGCAGTCCTTACCACCCGTCTACCATTAGCAGGCTTCTTTCCCTTCGTTCTGGCTCTTTCGCGCAGTCTAGACGTCTTTATTATGATGCTCTTCTCATTGCCACCCGTTTACCTGTGATGGGTAGCGTATTCCGTCATGTATGTGGAAATAATCAATTGCTTATTCCGCACTCCACCCGGTAATCGGCCGCGTATTCTGTCATGTATGTGGATTTACCGCACACCATCATCTCCCCCTGGTTATCCACGGTGTACACTAGAACTCCCAAACCCTAAACCTAAAACCCTGTCTCCAGAAGTCCTCTAACCTATAGCCCTAAAATGGTAGATATTTCCTCCCTAAACCCCTGAACCATAGATACGCTACACATTACTACCCCGAACCTTTAAAACCTTAATACCCTAAATCCCTGAAACCCTGAAATCCTAAAACCCTGAAACCCTGGAACCCTGGAACTCCCAGTGTGTCCTAGCGGACCCTCGCGGAGTGTCGCGGCTGATGGATCTGCTGACAGAATCACGCGAAATACTACGCAACGAAGCACTGCTGCTCCTAATACAACTCACAACATCCAATCCCAATGTCCAAAAGGTGTGTATGTAGATGTGCTATACATGGGCAGTGGGTATGAGCCATATACCTACATATGTATGTGCTATATATCTATATGCTTCTAAACGCGGTTATTGGGAGTACACCACCGAGGTCCTGGGTAGGCAGATAGCACTTGCACACCAAATCTAGAATCTGATCAACCCCGCGTACCAACGTATACCGGTAGTGTACGAGAACTTCTGTGCCATATGCAACGTCCGTCCGTGTCTCAGTGGTTCTATTACATCAGCCTTAGATTCACAGAGACGTAGCTGTCTCCCCAACGGCCCTTTGTCTAGTCGTAAATGACTAACTGGTTTTGGGTGGTAGTGGGTGTATGTTATTAGAGAGGTGTATGGTTACGATACGACAACGCGTGGCGGAGTGCGGCACACCCACACTTTTGGATGTGGCTGTGTAGGACAGGTGCGCGTGGCGTTTGCGCAAGTCGGTACATCTGAACGAACGAACGTATTAGGGATCGGTAGGCCTATGGTTCACATGTGTTTTCATGTGCATTTAAAGTAAAAGGAAGGCAAAAGGGATATCTGCTTTTAAATAACGCGTTTTCCTGAGCCTGAACTTAAAAGTAGGCATATACGAGCTATTATGCATGCATGTACTCATACTTTTCAGTTATTGACGTATTATATATATATATATATGTATGTGTGTGTGTGTGTTTTTGCGTGTATATATATCTATATCTATATATCTATATATATATATATATATTTACGTATTTATATATTTATGTACATATTCCCAATAATTTACGCAGATTGTTGTCTTCGAGAACGCGTTCGATAGACTGCTGGATATCGTGCGAGATGAGGGTAATAGCGAAGGAGGTATTGTTGTACAAGACTGCCTCCATCTTATTCACAATCTGCTCAGGAAGAACATCAGCAACCAGAACTACTTCAGGTGAGGGCTCATGGTAGATGGGAAGGTGTCGATTTGTGTATTTACATATATTTGTATATATGTGTGTATATGTACACACACACACACGAACACACACACACGCACACACGCACACATACACACATACACACACAACTATAAATATAAGTATTATATATATTTATATATATATATATATATATATATATATATATATATATACATATATACATATATGTATATATCTTTCAATCTGCGTAGCTTTGTTGACAGTTCGCATCGATTGTAGGACGTGAATGGTTCGTAGGCACTAGTGCTGCTTAGCGTTAGTCCTTGCGTGATGCACACGTACAGATCTCACCAAACGCCACACACTTCTTCTCGTCAGACTGACTGGTATGGGTACCAGGATTAAACATACTGGTAACTGTGTCTATATATATATATGTGTATATGTCCTTTCAATCGGATATTGAGTAAGTTCTATATAGACTGCACCTGCCACATCTCAACCGCGTTTTTATACTTCATAATTCTAGTTTTAATAATTAATATATATGTGTGTTTGAATGTATGTATGTATGTATGTATGTATGTATGTATGTATATATGCATGTGTGTATGTATGTATATATGTATGCATGTATGTAGGTATGTATATGTATATGTACACACACACACATATATATATACATATATATGTATGTATGTATGTATGTATGTATGTATGTATATATGTATGTATGTATGTATGTATATGTATATATATATATATATATATATATATATATATAATATATATTGAAGCACAAATATCGAGTTTTTACTATTATAACTAGCGAAGTACTTGCAACCATCCCACCGCTTTTGTCTGGAGCAGTGCCTGCGGGATCAATTTATTTCAGGACCGTTTTGAACCAAATTATACAATTTGTGCGTGTGCGCTCTACGACCTGTTCGATTCGCATCCAAAAACGAAATAAAAATTGAGATTTACAGCGAATTCTATTAGAAGTGTGCCTTAATTTAAGTATCTACATACAAATGGCATGAGGAAACCTATCTTCGGCCGACATTCATTAGCTCGTGAAAGTTACCGAATGTAAAATGTACCGTCTGTCTACATATCAACGCCTGATCGGCCCCAGCGTGTGCGTGTACATACAGTGCAAACGTACTATTCAATTCAAACGTAGGGCTTCTGCAGCTGAGTGGCCAACTCTGAGTCATACAAGCATCGCTAGTGTCCGTATGCGTATACAATACTCTCGAGTAATACACTATATTTCTAATCTCGGACCGTCATACCATCGCCGTCTCCGGTGTATCTCCCTTATGTATATCTACTTTTTCACTAACAAACACTAAATATATTCACCTTCATACTGTTATATGTATATGCATCTGTGCTTATGCGTTGTCTAAATAGGGAAACGGGTAATCTGGTGCGATTGAATCCGTTTTTGGCGCTCCAGGGTGCTCCGCCAGGGTTGGCGATCCCTGGGATGGAGAACGAGGCCCCCAAAGCTGAAAACGTATGTCGGTGAATGGAAAGCGTAGTTTTGTGGATAGGGTTTTAGGGTTTAGTGGTTGTCAACCGAAGCCTCACTTTCGCGACATACAAGGACCCTAGCTCACTCCATGTGGTATAGAGATGGATGACATCTCCAGCTACACACTGCGGTTTAGGATACACATTCAAGTACATACTCATGACTCTGGAAATAGGGAAGGAAGGAGGCTCTAGCATGCAGTATCCGTATGCCAGTACTTCCATTGGTTTTCCGTCCTAAGCCTTCCTCTGACCCAGTCCACGTTCCTATTGCGAACGGTGCATATCTGCACCTTTTTTAACAGGACTGGGAGGAGCAGAAGATCACCAACATGCTCATGATGATCGAACTGGTGCGCATTCTGGTGACGCCTAACAACCCCAACGCACCCACCAATCAGAAGGCGATGCTCAAGCAGAACACCACCGAGACTCTATACACACTCACGCTCATGGAGGGCAAGCTGCCACCACGCGTATGTCTATTTGTATATACCTGTGTGTGGGAGTTTATATATGTGTCTATACACGTGTGTGGGAGTTTATATATGTGTCTGTACACGTGTGTAATGTTTAAGTATGAAAGGATGAATGTACCTGCGTAACGCTGCAGCCGTGGGACTGTGTTCAAGCAGAACACTACCGAGACAAGTCACCTACACACTCATACTCATGGAGGGCTAGATGCCATCACGCACACGTACATAGAGGTGCAGGTGACTGTGTGAAATCATGTAAATGTGTACCAATGACTGTCTATAGTCGCAAGTAGGTATATCGCGAACCCTAAAGCCGAGTACAATCATGCACCTATATGCAAATACAATTCTCCCGCGCTACTGGAAAAGGATGCTTGGGGCTCCATAAGCACAGCAGTGACAGTGCGAAACCGAACTCCGTCTTTCGTACTTCTGCGGTGGATACGAACAAAGTCTTGGACTGCATTGTCGCTTTCTTATAATATGGTTTTGTTATATGTGCACAGCACCGTATCACGATTACTACCCAAGTTTAAGTACATACACGCTTGACTGTTGAAGAGGCCATATATATATATATATATATATATATATGTATGTATGTATGTATGTATGTGTATATGTATATGCATGTATATATATATATATATATATTATACATGTATTCAAATAAGGAACGTGTCGCATTCATATCCGTATAATATCACTCTGACTTGTTCATTCCAACACGAAGACAAGGACGCTTTCACTTCACCAACCCCTTACTACACACCCGCACAGGTACAAGTACAAGTACGTTGTGCTGTAGGAGAGGCAATGCGTGGCTGCGCTCCTGCACAGCAACTGTTCAGCGGTACCACCGCAAAATGTGGTGCTCGGCCTAGGCCTGCTCTAGTGACTCTCGTCGTAGAGTTGTTGGCTTTCCGCAATCCCTTTGACTACCGGTGTGCCTCACTGTACTGTCTGGAGAGCTTTCTGTTCAATAACTCTGACGGACAGGTATGACCGATATGCGGGGGCGTGTGTATGTATGGGTACTTATGCTTATGTGTATATATGTATATGTACGGGTATATATGCTTGTTATGTGTATATATTTATACGTATGGGTATATATGCTTGGTGTTTATATATTTGTATATGTTTAGGCATATATGCTTGTCATGTATACAGATGCATATGTATAAGTATATATGCTTGTGATTTGTGAAGTCGGTTTGTCCTTGCATTTTTGTTTGTATCTGTTGTATGTGTCTAGGAGAGTTCCCATTCATCCATCCCGGCGGGCAGATATAGCAAATGTGTGTATACAGTATTGTGGGTTTATACACGGGTGTGAATCATAGATATGGACGTGTATGTGTAGACATCGACACATACACAAGTATGTGTAAATATGTGTATTTGCGTATGTTTAGAACTATTTGTTGGTGTATTTTTGTGTATGTATTCGCTACCCCATCTCCCGGCCACAGGTGTGGGTGTGCGCGTTATATCCACATATACGTCTTGAGTATATTTACGGATGGTATATACTATATGCACGCATACATTTTATAACATCTAAATTGATTGTACTAAATATATACGCATATACATATAATGATATGTATACTGATAAATTGAAAATCACGTCATACAGATGTTTCTGACCGGAACTTTGAAGCAACCGCCCAATGCAAACTTATCACAAGCAACCGATACACCCCTTGCGGCCGGTGCGCAAATTTTGAGCGCACTCGCCGACACAACAGACGGCATCTCCCATTGGTATGGATTTATATGTATGTATATGTATATGTATATGTATATGTATATGCATATGTATATGTATATGTATATGTATATGTATATGTATATGTATATGTATATATATATATATATGTAAATGTATATATATATATATGTATATATGTATATATAGATATGTATGTATGTATATATGTATATGTATATATATAGATATATATATATGTGTGTGTGTGTGTGTGTGTGTAAATATATAGTATGTATATATAATGTGCGTGTATTATATATTATGTATATATGGAAGTATGGAAGTATGTATGTATATAATATGGTCGTGTTTATCCATGTATTCTTAATGTTGCATACCTTTTTCAAACCTTTATCTTGCATATTTTGCAAAGGTACCTGTATATGTAGCCATGTATATCAATTTGACGAACACTCTTTTCTCCGCTCAATCAGGTGCGCTTGCCTGGCCCTCTCGTCAACAATCCGGGGCAATTCCCAGGCCAAACAAATGGCCCTAAATACGCGAGTTAAACTGGGCGGAGGTACCGAACCTTCCACACAAGCGAATACAATCCCTCTGCTGGAGCTTTGTCTGAGAGCTTTCCATTGTAATGGGATGCAGAAGACGCGCGTGTCTGTGTCTGAGTATATCTTCCTGTGCTCTTTCCTGAGTGAGAGTCCCACGAATATTGCCGCGTATCTGTCCAATCAGGAGAATCTCACGAATTTGATCGCGCACTGTCAGGTGGGTATGCCCCTATGTTTGTTTGTTTGGCCATGTATATAAATGTATGTATGTATGTAATTATGTATGTATATATGTATGTATGTATGTAATTATGTATGTATGTATGTATGTATGTATTTATGGATGTATGTATATGTATATATCTATATATATCTATATATATATATATATATATATATATCTATATATATATCTATATATAATGTGTGTGTGTGTGTGTGTGTGTGTGCGTTGATGTGTATCATTTTCTGGATATGTATTGCTCTTCGTTGCCTCTGGTGCGAGAATCCTTTTTGCCGCATATCTGGCCAATCAAGCGTATCTAACTAATCCCGTTACATACTGACACGTGAGTGTGTGGGCAGCATTCATTATCTATGATAGTCATTGTCGTTTATTATCTATGATAGTCACTGTCGTTTATTATCTATGATAGACATTGTCGTTTATTTTCTATGATAGTCACTGTCGTTTATGATCTGTGATAGTCATTGTCGTTTATAATATAAATAGATTAAGCATCGCTCACATGTTTGCGTGATAGTGCAAAATAGTTCGGGATCTATTCCTCGTTGGTTGTCTCACATTATCATTGGTCACGTTGAAACCAGTCATCTCCAGTATCGGATGCCACCCGTTGTTGTGTGTGTGTTGCTCGTCGCTCGTCTATTGGGACATTTCACCAGACAGTGGTGGTGGTGGTGTATTTATCACACCTTTGTTGCCTATGTCTACATACAGAACAACTATCACATACCGTTGCTTGGTTACGATACCTATTAACCGACTACTCACCAACCACCTACCTATAGAAAGTACCGCGTGCTGGTGATGTACATTTCACTCGCTCTCAGTTGTCTGTGTCTATTAATAGAACTTAAATACCCCATACCGTTGCTTGGTTACGCTACCTACTAACCGACTACTCACCAACCACCCACCTATAGGAAGTACCGCGTGTTGGTGATGTACATATCACTCGCTCACAGTTGTCTGTGTCTATTAATAGAACTTAAATACCCCATACCGTTGCTTGGTTACGCTACCTATTAACCGACTACCCACCAACCACCTACCTATAGGAAGTACCGCGTGCCGGTAGTGCCAACGGGACGTCTGTACTGATCCCCGGGCTAGCGTCACTGCTCCTGGGTATTTGTCTACAGTGGACCGATGCGGGTGCGGAGAACTCGGCCTCTAGCAGGCTGAGCTTGCTGCAAGTGATTCACCATGTCATTGGGGTGGACAAGTACTCTGAGAATATCAAGATGCTGATCCAGTCAGACTTTTTTGAGGGGGCGCAGTCGTCACACCAAGTATGTGTTGGGTTTTTGGGTTTTTGGGTTAGGGCATATGGTTGCGTAGTGATGTATGTGCCTGTGTGTAGTAGTACGGTGATGTTACTGTAGGTGTGTGGGTGTTCCGTGTGATTGCTTAGAGTGAATGCAGTGATATATGTGCCTGTGTGTAGTAGTACAGTGGCTTTTGTCTAGGCGTCCAGAGGTTGTAGGCATGTATATATATATATATATATTAATTTTTATTAAATTTTTTTAAATTTTTATACACACGCATATGGATAAGTATATGTAGTTGTATTATATGTATATATATTTATATTTGTATATATATGTATATACATATATATATATATATATATATATATATATATATATATATATATATATATATATATATATATATATATTAGTATAGTATTATATTATATATATA